TGGAGGAAGGAGGTCAGAAGAGGGCATCGGATTCCCCTGGAACTGGAGTTAAAGACGTTTATGTGGGTGCTGGGAATTGAACCCTGGTCCTCTGCAAGAGCAGTCAGTGCTCTTAACTGCTAAGCCATCTCTCCAGCCCCTATATATTTAAATTTAAAAAATATTTTATGTGTATGAGTATATTGCCTACATGTGTGCAAATGCACCTGTGCCATGCAGTGCCTGTGGAGGTCAGAAGAGGGTGTTGGATCCCCTGGAACTGGAGCTACAGACAGGACTGGGATTTGAACCTGGGTCCTCTGAAAGAGCAGTAAATGCTCTTAATCGCTGAGTCATCTCTCCAGCCCCAATATTTAGTTTTTTACATTTATTTTGTGTGTGTGGAGGTCAGAGGACAGCTTGTGGGAGTTGGTTCTCTCCTTCCACCATGTGGGTTCTGGGGCTTGAACTAAAGTTAACACCAGGCTTAATGGCAAACACCTTTACCCATTTAGCCATCTCCAATATATATATTTAAATCACTATTTTAGTATAGTCCTATTTATGAAAAAGAAGTTGGCCCCGTGCTGGACATCCCACAGTACCAGCGCTCAGGAAACTTGCCTCTACCCAGTCTGTCACGCACAGACATCTGTAAAAGCATAAGAATGAAGGGCTGGGCTGGAGAGGTGGCTCAGTGTAGAGCACTGGCTGCTCTTGCAGAGGACTTGGGGTCAATTCCCAGCACCCACATGGTGGCTAATAACCATCTGTAACTCCAGTTCCAGGGGACCTGACGTCCTCTTCCGGCCTCTTTGGGTACTGCACAACACAGGTGCACTTATATACGTGCAGCCATACACTCATACACATGAAATAAATAAAAGTATTTTAGAAAGAGAATGAGACGCAAAAGGCAGGGCTGACCCCAGGCTTGGGTTCCACATAGCTCGCAGCCCACAGTGCTCATGGGTATCTCCTTCACCGGGGAGGGCAGCCTCAACCCTCACACTGTGTGCATCCCACACCGGGCTCCCATTTTCAGGGACCTACACCCTTCACCGATTGCCTTGTCAGCCTCGGTCACAGGCTGACCACCACTTGTTCCTACACCACAAGACAGTGGGCCAGGGCAGGGGCCTCGCTTTAAACAGTCCCGCCTTCATACAGGCTGACCACCACTTGTTCCTACACCTGCACAAGACAGTGGGCCAGGGCAGGGGCCTCGCTTTAAACAGTCCCGCCTTCAGGTCTCTGCCGCCCCCGCACTTGGATGGCGGGTTGTGAATGGGTTAGTGGCTGACTCTATGTTATTCGAGATGACACTGCATTTGGATGGCGGGTTGTGAATGGGTTAGTGGCTGACTCTATGTTATTCGAGATACAGAAGGTGTGTGTGCTGGGTCCTCTCTATGTTAAACGTGTGAGGATACAGGGAGGTTTGAACTCCAGTCTGGGGAAGCAGCAGGAGCACACAGGCCTGGAACAGAGCAGACTGAGGAGAGAGATTAGCACTGGTGCCAGGGCTTGCAGGAGCCCTGGGCAGGGACCACGGCGGGGTGCAGGGTGGGGAGGCTGCCCGGAGGACTTGAGGAGTGAGGGCCGGCTCAGAGCCCTGTGCGAAGAGGTGGGAGGAGGGGAGGTACTGGAGACCCCGCCAGGCAGGCACGCTGCTCCCTGAGGCCCTGGGGTGCCAGGCAGGTCTCGGGTCCCCGCCCTCGTCCCCCATTCTGGAGGGAGCTAGGAGCCACAGCTGTTAGTGGAAGACCCATTCACCCTGCCGGCCCTGTTCAGGGGTGAGTCAGACGAGGGGACCAAAGGTGAGGACACTGGGCCATGGAGCCAAAGCCCCAGCGGGGACAGCGTCACCGCCGCCACCTGTCAGTCACCCATCGCCTTCAGAGCAGCTTGACACCCCTCACGGGTAGGAGCAGGGGTCAGGGAAGTGCTGTGACAGTAATGACAGGTCCTGAAGCAGATTCCAGGCCACGTTTGCTCCAGTTAATGCTTCAATGGCCGGTGTGTCCTATCCAGCCTTCCAGGGACATGATGTAATGTGAGGTGTGCGCAGGTGCGTGAGTGAGCTAGGGGTGGTGTGGATGCGAGGCCGGCGTGGAGGGCTCTCTGGAGCTCTGAGTCACGTGACCTTCGGTGCCTCTGGCCCAGTGTTTCCTTAGTCTGGGTCCTGGACCTGCTGGGTGGGGAACCATCCAGTCACACTGGTCCTACCTGGGTGAAGAGGTCCAGAGCCTTGTGCAGGTTGGCATACATGCCCGTGGGAGGCTCGTTGGTGATTTTGATGGCATTTTCCAGGATGCCCTGAGGGATGATGTGTGACTCGGGGCTGGGGGCAGGCTCCGCACTGATGAACAGTCTGTAGTCATGGTGACTGCCTATGCTGTAGCGTTCCACCTTCTTATCCAGGGTGCTCAGCCACCGTGCCACCAGGTGGATGTTCTGTAGTGGACAGTGGGATTAGTCACCCCACCTCAGGTTCAGGAGGATGGAGCACTTTGTAGGGTTCCCCAGCATGGGCCGGGTGCTTCCTAACACCATCCACACATGCGGGTGCCCCAGGTAAGGGGATGTTCCTTCCCACCCTCAAGGTCCAGGCCGTGGTGACTGGGGAGCCCTCACCTGCAGAATGACCCAGTGCCCTTTCTCGGCAGCCACGTCAAGGGCATTCTCGGCCACCACCTCCTGCCCCTGCCCCAGGGACACATTGTGGAGTTTCCCATTGTCTATAGTAAATCCCAGTTTTTTCCCTAAAGAAAGGAAAAACAGGAAAAACGCAGAGGTGATTCAGCAACAGTGGTTTGGGCTCTGCGACCCGCGGCCGGGAACTCCACACTCCTTCCCATGTTGTTTACTGTGGGGAAACACACATCCCATAACCCCATTGGGTTTCGGCCATCTCAAGGGTGCGGCCAGGGACACCAGGGACACTCGCCACCCTGGGACGGTGGCGTGACCACAGTGACGCCCTTTGAGCTCTGTGCCTGACAAACTGCTGACTGCTCCCTGTCCCTGTAGATCAGCCTGTCAGGGACATTTCATGTAAATGGTCTGAGACTGTTGCCTCTGGCTCTTTTTCATGAGCCTAATGCTTTCAAGGTTCATCCACGGCATAGCACAAGTTCTGTTCACAGCAGAATAATATTCCACAGCACACAGCGTGCTCTGGCTACACTGTGTTAATCCATTTTTCTGGTGGATTTGTGATGGTTATTTTTTACTGCCAGCTTGACTGGATGCAGAATTGCCATGTATCTACGTGGGTGTTTCTAGAAAGGAGGGAAGACCCACCCTGAATGTGGCTGGCACCATTCCATTGACTGGGGTCCAAGACTGAATAAAAAGGAGAAAGTGAGCTGAACACCAGTGTTCAACCCTCTGCTTCCTGTAGATGCCATGTGAGCAGCTGCCTCACGTTCCTGCCACCATGCTGCCTTCCCCGCCATGATGGGCTGCACCCTCCAATCCTACCCAACTAAACCCGTCTCTTCAGTCACCCTTGTCAGGTATGTTTTTGTTTCTGTCGTGAGGAAAGTAACCAGCACAGGGCTGTTCCTACGTGAGGGCACTGGTGAGAAGACTTGCTTGTGTATTTTCAGGTCCTTGGAGGACAGACCCAGCCGTGGAATTGTGGGGGACTGTGGTCATTCTAGTGAGGCTTTCCATGAAACCACTCAGGTGATTTCTGCCTCAGAAACATTTCCCCAGCTTTTCCCAGCGGCTTCTTTCTCTGCCTCACCACCCCTTGCTAGTTTCTGGTTTTGACTTAGCCATGCTCATGGGTGTACACGGTCTCTCTGTGGTTTTAATTTTTGTTTCCCCAGGAACTGATGATGCCTGCTTGCCTGCTGTGCTTACCCAGGGCCTCCACATCTTTGAGGGGATCGACGCCAGGGGACAGGATGAAGAAGATGGGGGTGGAGGGGCTGCTTTCCTTGTAGGACCTGGAGAACTCCACGCTCCGGCTTTCCACAAACTTGCTGCCCATCTTCTCCTCCACAAAGTTCCTGAGGGGGACACATTCTATGGAACCCCAGGCAGTGGGCCCTGCTCAGGACCAGTACTGGGGGGCGGGGAGGGGTCTGGGCCTCTCTGGGTGGACTTCCTTAAGCAGAGCCAGGCTTCTGAAGGAAGAAAAGACTCGTCTCTCTGCGAGGGGAGTGGCATCTGCTTTGGCTGTTTGCTTGGTTTTGAGACAGGGTCTCATGTAGTCCAGGAGCCCAGGCTGGCTGAGAGCTCACTAGGGTAGGTAGCTGAGGGTGCCCTTGAATTTCCTCCTGCCTCTACTTCCCACATCCTGGAATTACAGGTCATTGTGTCACCACGGCCCGCTTATGTGGTGCTGGGGATGGAACCCAGGGCTTCATGCACGCTAGTCAAGCACTCTACCAGCTAAGCTGCATCCCCAGCCCCCACAGTTCCTCCTTCTCTCCAAGCAGGCCCACGGAGGGGCAGCCCCAGTAGATGGATGCCACCCAGGGTGCAGAAGGCCCCAGAGGTCAGTGTGGGACAGTGATAGGGAGGGAGCTCTGCTGAGGTGACTTTAGGACCTCAGCTTCCCTCTAGCCCCGCCCCAGAAGTCCAGGGTCCTTCAGGTGGTCCTCTCACTGTGGTCTAGTGTTTGGGGTGACGTTTCGAGTCACAGGTAGACAAGTTCCCTGGGATCTCAGTGAGTCTCCCAAGCTGGAGAAGTGCTACCGCCTAGCCCCAGCTTTGAAAGCAGGACCATGGCCAGGTGCCCAGCTGCAAACTTGTTCCTAGGACACAGCTGAGACTCTGAATGCCTCAGGCACCACCTTTGAAGCTGAAGGACCATTCTGTCTGTCTGTCTGTCTGTCTGTTTGTCTCTTTCTCTCTCCCCCCACCACGTGTGCATGGGTATGCGTCTACGCACAAGTGCCTGTGTAGGCAGGGGTGGGCGTCAGCTGCCTTCCTCAATCGCACTCCACCTTATTTATTTATTGTTGTTTTTTTGAGACAGCGTCTTACTATGTAGCCCCAGCTGACTTGGAACTCACTATATGGACCAAGCTGGCTTGGATCTCACAGAGATCCACCTGCTCTGCCTCCTGAGTGCTGGGATTAAAGTGCACCATCATGCCCAGCTTCCAATTTACTTTTTGGGACAGCATCTCTCAATGGCCTGGAGCTCACCTATGAGGCTAGGCTGGCTGACCAGTGAGCTCCAGGATCCTCTGCCTGTCTCTGCCTCCCCAGTGCTGGGATTACAGTGCATAGCATTAAGCCTAGCTTTTTCTTTTTGAAGCAGGGTCTCCCCGTAGCCCCAGCTATCCCGGAACTCACTATGCAAACCTGTAGACCAGACCAGCCTTGATCTCTGTGAGATCCCTGCCTCTACCTCCCTCGTGCTGGAATTAAGGGTGTTTGCCTCCACGCCTGACAGTAAACCCTGACTTTTCTTTTCCTTTCTTTCTTTCTTTCTTTCTTTCTTTCTTTCTTTCTTTCTTTCTTTCTTTTTTTTCTGGTCTTTTGGAAATGGGATCTCCCTGTAGCCCCAGCTGGCTTGGAACTCACTATGTAGACCAGGATGGCCTTGAACTCATAGAGATCCACCTGCCTCTGTTTCCCAAGTGCTGGGACTATAGAGTGTGCTACCACACCTGGCCCATTAAATCTAGCTTTTAAAAGAAATATTTTATTATTATTTTTTGGACTTTTTGAGACAGGGTCTCCCTGTAGCCCCAGCTGTCCTGGAACTCACTATGTAGACCAGACTGGCCTTGAACTCACAGAGATCCACCTGCCTCTGCCTCCCAAGTGCTGGAATTAAAGGTGTGCACCACCATGCCTGGCTTATTATTTTTATTTTAATTTATGTGCATGAGTGCATTGCCTCTAGTATTTAAGTGCACCCGTGTCATGCAATGCCCATGGGGGTTAGAAGAGGGCATCAGATCCCCTAGAACCGGGGTTATGGATGGTTGTTAGCCTCCATGTGGGTGCTAGGAACCAGCAAGAGCAGTTAGTGCTTCTAACTACCGAACCATCGCTCCAGCCGCCAAACCTAGTTTTTTACATGGGTGCTGGGGATCAAACTCAGTTTGTGTGACAAACACTTTATTGACTGAGCTGTCTCCCCAGGCCCCAAGGGACCATTCTCTGAGGATAGATGAGTGATACCATATGGCGGGTGGATATTTGAAGCCCTGCCAGTTCCCAGGCGTACCAGGCTATCCCCAGGAGGTGGAGGTCCTGCCTCGATGGTCAGGGCCTTGTGCCCAAGCCTCTCCCAACTCTGCCTGACCTCCCTCCATCACCTGATCCAGGGTGACCCTGCCCTTCTCTCCCCCACTAGCCAGACCCTCCTTATCAAGGGTACTTCTATTCTCTGCCCCTTCCTCCCACTGCTCCTGGCCCTTCCTTTTCCATTCAAGGAAAACAAGAAAAAGTCCATGCATATTGAGTGACGATGTCAGGCCCCGCAACGTCAGAGAGGAATTCTGTGGGGCTGTAGGTGGCTTTGGGGAAACCTGGCTGTGTACAGGCTACACAGGGAGAGGTGGAAGGTCCTAGGGCGAGGTGAGCCTAAAACTTACAGGTCCAGGCTGCATTCTCTGCTAAAGGGAGGGGCACTGAAAACAGTGGCTCTGATAATCCCTGCCTTGCAGAACACTGTTAGGCTGGCAGGAGGAAGCGGCCGGTCATAAAAGTGAGGCTCCCTGATCTGTGGGAAAGCGTCTTGGTCAACAACCCTTAGCTCATCTCCTTGTCCTGAACAAATAACTCAGCTATCCCTGGCTAAGAGATTAGGCCAGGTTAAAGGTTTACTCCTGAGCTAAAAGCTAAAAGTTCATCATGCTTTTAGCTCTAAGAAAGAAAACATTGTGGCCAACAAATTACTGGATGGGCATTGATAATAACCTTGAGTGAAAGTTTAAGAATCCTTCTGGCGCCAACTAACAGACTAAATGCCCTGTTTCTTTGTACCCTAAATCTTTGTATGTGACTGCCATATCCCAAGTGACTGCTAGTTCCTTGGGATGTATAAAAACCATCTGAATTCTAAAATAAATCATCCTGTTGGGAAGACACAGGTCCCAGAGTTTGACTCTGTCGCCAATCAGACCCTCTGCCCCGAAGCCAGCAGGTCCCCCGCTAAGCAAAGCAAACCTGAATCCCAACAGAAGGGGAGAAGCCACTCTACTGCTCTGAACTGTACCTCGAACCTCCTCTCTTTCCTTAGCCACCCATCCTCTTCCTACTTGCCAGGGTTCTGGTCCTGAGGAAGTGTCTCAAAATTAGAGCCGTTCCCTTGCAATGGACATCTATCAACACTGGCATTAAGTTTAGCCATGAAGAGTCCTCCAGCACTGATGGTCTGCCCTCTCCTCCCCCAAACACCTTCCTGGGGACCCCATTTGTAATGGCTAGGGAATTCTTTGCTTTCGACATTGGAGCCCTGATTCCCTGTTCCCTGTCACAAGGTATGCCTCTGTATAGGTCAGTGGGGCCAGAGGTCCTTTGGTCACACTCTGAGAGTCAACCACGAACTCAGGATGGGGGCTGGGGATGTGGCTCAATCAGCAGGACGCTTGCCTATCATGTACAAGGCCCTGGGTTCAATTCCCAGCACTACATGGAACTTGTGGTGCACAGCTGTAACCCTAGCACTCAGGAGGCAGAGGCAGGAGGATGGGGGCGGTGTTAAAGTCATCCTTGGCTATATAGCGAATTTGAATGTAAGAGTGGCCCACTTGAGGCTGTAGAGATGGCTCAGTGGTTATGAGCACTGGCTGCTCTTGCAGAGGACTCAGGTTCAGTTCCCAAAACTCACATGGCAGCTAACAACTGTCAGTAATTCCAGTTCTAGGGGATCATACGCCCTCTTTTGGCCTCTGCAGGCATTACATGCATGTGGTACTCTTACAAATGTGCAGACAAAACACTCATACACATAAAAATTTTTTAGAAAGTGGCCCAACCAACAATGGAGCAGGGAAATGAGCCTTATTTAGCTAAGAGTCAAGCCCACAGAGCGCCCAGCCAGGTGCTCAGGGCTGCTGTTCTGCACCGGGCACCTGGCCTCCTGGGAGCCGAGGGACGCTCACTTGATGGCGTAGGTCATGCGGTCAGGCCTCATGCAGCGCACCATGCACAGCTTCTGCAGCGCCGTCTTGTTTTTCCACTCCTTGGGGAATATCTCCTTCTCGGGAGCCTCCGACTCCACCAGCTTTTTCCACCGCTTGGCAGAGCCCTCGATGTCGTTGTCCAGATTTTTGAACTCGTCCATCTCTGACAAGGCCTAGGATAGACATGTGCTGCAGTGACTACCTGCTCAGCCTGACTTGGAGGACACCTTCCCCAGATGGCCCTTAGCAGGCCCTGGGCTCTCGGGGAGCGAGCGGCCTGTCACTAAAACCGAGACTGTTCTTCCTGAAGACTGGCAGGTCATGCTCCAAGGGGGAGTCTGGCCTGGGGATAGGTGCTGGCCTCTCTCCAGCTTCTCCAGATCCCTCACCCTCTAGGGACAATGTTGTCAGTGCTGTCCTGCCTCAAGACACTGCCTTCCTTAGGTCTGTGTGGATTAAGACAGGACACCTGGGACCTGAGGGTCCTTGCCAGTCCATCTGGGAACCTGAGGAGTGACTGGACCTGGAGGGAGGAGTTCTGCAGGTCCCTGTGAGTGAGGCTCTCCTCTGAACCCAAGCAGGTCAGTGGGGACCTCGCGGCACCAACTGGGTGTGAGGACCCACCTTGATTCCACCCCAGCTCTGGTGTTGCAGGAAGTCCACGGGTGACACGACGCCTGCCTTGAAGGGGAAGCGCAGGAGGAAGTCCAACTCCACAGGGTTCAGCTCCTTCTTCATGGATAAGACCTGGGACGGCAGGGGTGGGGGTGGTAGTGCTTTTCTGTTTTCACTTTGTGGTTTGGTAAATCGTGGCAAAACACACATAACAAAGCTTACCGCTCTAACCATACTGGAGTGCATAACCCAGTCCACACTCACAAGGCTACACAACCATCACAATTTAGTTCTAGAACATTCTACCACCTAAACCAAAACCTATTAAGCAGGCCTTCCTCATCTCCTGCCCCAGTCCCTGGCAACACCAGTTGCCTCCACGTCTCCTGGTTCTCCACATGTAAAAGCAGGCATGTGTTACACGCCTGCTTCACTCAGTAGCATGCTTCGAAAGATTTTATGTGTACGAGTATTTTTCCTACATGTATGCAAGTACGCTACATGAATGCAATGGCTGTGGAGGTCAGAAGAGGGCGTCAGATCTCTTGGAAGTGGCATTAAGGACAGTTTTTAGCTGCCATGTGGGTGGTGAGAACTGACCCAAGTCCTCTGCAAGAGCAGCCAGCCCTCCTCCAGCCCTCCAGCCCTCCTCCAGCCCTCCAGCCCTCCCCCAGCCCTCCAGCCCTCCCCCAGCCCTCCAGCCCTCCAGCCCTCCCC